TCTCTTATCTGTCTTATTGTATTGTATGTTGTATTTTATACTAATCAAACCTTCTATTTCAGTTGAAATGGCCTCTTTCCAACAATCCACCAAGGTTAGCTATGCCGATATTGCGAGTCGGCCAGCTGCTACCATGCAACCCAGGGTAGCAAGGCCGGAATACTCCAATATCGTGATAGTGAAGCCAAGCGGGGGCAAAACTTTCGGCAGCACGAATTCGAAGGTTATCGGCGACTTCGTCCGGAAAGAGTGGAAGTATAGCTCTCTTCCGGAGGTCAAAGTCCTGGCTAACGGCAACGTAAGGCTGAATTTTGAGTTCCTGGCAGATGCGGTTTAGGCTGCAAATCAAACAGCACTGTGTGGGATGAAGGTGGACTCGGCCATGTCCACCTTCAACAAGACGGAACGGGTCGTCATTTATGGCGTCCCCTCCGAGTACTCTGAGGGTGAATTGCTGGAGGATCTTAAACTCCACAATCACGCTGTAGAGGGTTTATACCTCTACAAACCTCGAGAGGGCAAGTCCGTTAGGACTGTCCAACTAACCTTCGCAAGCGGGAAAGTACCTAATGGTCCTCTTCCCCTTCTATATTCCAGGTACCAGCTCCACCCTTACATCCCCAAGGTACGAAGATGCCAGAAATGGCAGAAGTTGGGTCATTTGGAGAAGTTCTGTCGCAGCAAAGTTTGCTGCGAAAAGTGTTGAGAGGGGCACAGCACCAAGCTGTGTAAGTCCAAGAATGTAATTTTTTGATTTCTGTTGCAGGTTGGTTGCAGTAGCAATCAGTTCCAGAACCAAGGCTGGTGAAATCAATCCGAAAGACGTCATGGCGAGGTAGCCAAAGTATGTGCCGACCACGTCACAAACCAACAACCACCAAACAAGGATACCAAACCAAAGAAGAAGATATCTTTGTTCCGAAGACCGACGTAGTGGGTCAATCGGTGGAAACGCCAAGAAAAGTAAAGGCGGTATCCACGAGTGACCAACCTCGTCAGTCAAGGAGCATCTGCAGAAGTACAGGCTCCAGACCCGTGAATGTGCGCTGTAGAAGCACCACGCTAGCTAGACCACTGCCCACTGGCTCAGTAACGGAAATGGACGTAGAGGTTTTTACGGCACCCCAAACCCCATGCTAAAACCATACTGATCCATTAAGTCATTAATTATTTTACATTCAATTTCAGGTTTATACAGCTGAACATCAATGGTCTGAACGTACCTGAACGAAAGACCCAACTGGTACAGCTACTACAAAGGAAGCAGTATGATGCCGTTTTTCTCCAAGAGTCCAAGCTCGGTTCACGGAATAAAGACCCTATCATCAATGGTTATACTCTGATCAGATTAAACAGACCTAATGCTCTCAACCATCGAAGTGGTGGGGGTCTGGCCATCTACATCAAAAATGGTATATCCCATAGTGAGGTTCCTCTGAAAACCATCGCTCCTCTGGAGGCAAGGCGGTATCCTTTACCGAAAAGTCAAAGGTTTTTTTCTATCGTTAATATTTATCGACCCGAAGTCAAAGGCAAACCTCAACGATTCAGTGAATATCAGTATGTTTACGATCAGTTGCCCGGGACCGACAATATTGTGCTTGGTGATTTCAACACCAAACACGTATTGTGGGGTTCGCCAACAACTGACACTAATGGTAGACAAGTTCATTGAGGCCAATGACCTGGTTAGCATAAATAATGGTAGCATTACTTATGTTGGTGCAATTGCTCCTCTTGGTTCGCATCTCGATCTCACATTAGTAAGCAGTCGGTTAGCTAAAGACTGTACGTGGGAAGCAACCAGTGAGACCCTTGGAAGTGACCATGTTGTCATTGAAATC